TGCAGACGTTCTCGCCAAACAGGCCTGCACACTCCCAACCTCCTCACTTGCACTGTCAATCTCTAGAGCAAAGAGAGATATCAAAATTAGAAACCAAGACTCGGCGACCAGATATTGGACGCAAAACGCACCCGAAAGATACAAACAACCTGGGATTAGAGAAAATGTTGGAGACTCACTGGAACTTAGGAGTCTCGACCGGCGAACACTGGGCCTGCTTCTTACTGCACGCTCAGGGCATGAGGACTTTGCAGATTACCACCGCCTTTTCCAACACCTCGAAGCTCTCTTGACTTGTAGCTGCGGACAAGAAAATTCACCCGACCACTTCTTCTTTTGTCGACTAGGGCGCAGCCGAGCACGACTGCAAGGTGGACCTCGACATCCCAACCCTGGAATCCCCTGGGTTCTAAGAATTGAAATTAGTTCCAGAGATGGAAAAAATTACACACTAGCTTCAAGTCTAATTTAGAGAGACGATAAATGTGTTTATTATACAAAGAAGTTTACTGATATATAATGGATATTTAATTGTGATTAAATTGCTATATCATATATGTGTGGCGAGAAGTCCCTCTATATACATGAAAGCGGGGTTTTCCGCACATCAGTGTGAACTTCAATATACTTCCTAATCTAACATAAATGGGAAGGTTGTTGGAGATCCTGAAGCCGATGTATGCCGTTAGGCATCTATTGGCTAATTACTATTCATGCCAGTGAGTGATGATATGGGTTAATCATATCTCATGGCGCCAGTACATATTATTCTAATATGTACTACTTGTCTACTGCAGTCATGTTGCTGCCTTAATTACAACAGCTGGCAATTCGTAGACTATATGAGAGTCTACCTAGACGCCGCCATTGCGCAATACATGGCTACGGGCCCGGCCTCCACGCCACTCTTCCTCTCTCCTCGCCCTGCGAACCCTCTCCCAAGGGCGACAGACGCTAGGAGCACAACAATTCCCGCTGTCCCAGAGTTGCCTGTAAAAAGCACCTGGGCCACGGTGACCAAACACGGACTGCGACAAAGAGCAGTCCCAATAACAAAGGCTGTGCCACAACATGCGTCAAAGGCCTCAAAGAAATAGTTCCCGAAGGTCAAATTCGATAAACGACTGTTTCTTCGCCTAGAAAAGGATCAGCCGCGGCGCAAGCTTTCACCTAGCGCTGTACGGCAAAAAATAAAGGATGGGCTGCAGTGCGCCTTGGGTGACAGCAGCTCTATACACCGAGTCAGAATCGGCTTTGCGATCCTGACAACGGATGAAAATACAAGGGAAAGGCTCTCAGATTCCGCATCGACATTGTCGGACTGCAACGCCAAGCTCGAACAAGCCTCCAACTTTGTCGCCTTTCGTATTGCGAATGTTCCCGCGACCGTAAAAATAATCGACTGTACTCATACTGTCAATGCGGATTGGGTCTTATTGGAGATCTACCGAAAAACACGACTGTTGCCAATCCAGGTGCAACCTCACAGGATATACCGTCCTGGGGCGCCATACAGAAATTGGCAAGCCCTGTTTGTTGGAAATTCGATATGGGTTCGATGAGTAAGGCGGCTCAAAGAATATGGACGCGATTTTATGAATAGATTAATGATGATATGAATCGTGAGAATATGTGATATACTATGGAAAATAAAAGATGGGTTCGAAGAATTGAATTGATTAGATTATCTGTCTTGGTGATTCCTAGACAGCTTATATACATGTATACTTGATAGACAAAATCCAAACTAGATACCATCCATCACTCGTTCCATACTCTAACAATTACAATGAATCGCACGACAGTATACAACATGAGTATGGGGTCAGGGTCGGTGGATGAAAGCCCACATGGGTATCAGACCATACCATGCACTAGTCGAGTCTCAAGCATCAAACATGCTCAGTAAAGGAGATATCAATCATCTAGGTCATGAGTCAGGCTGTGAGTCTTGTTTGAGAATCTTAGTTGTTCCAATCATGGGGAAACTTCAGACATAGAATCTGAATTTCCGACACTGTTTGCTCGGGATTCCGCCCCTCGTGCGGGCTTCCGCCTTCTCGACGAATCTGGAGTAGCCATCGTCTACAAGCCTCGTCGACAAATTGAACTGTGCAAATACTGTTTGGGCTTCCACGCCACATGTGGCTGCTCCCGCGTTCCAGCCTGCTGGAGCTGTGGATCTAACATGCACTCGGAATCCGAGTGCAAAGCCCTCACTAAGTATCGCAACTGTGGGGGACCGGTGACCAAAGGGTAGCTCGCGTGAACCCGCCAGATTGAGCAAGGGCAGTTTGCGAGGTTGGCACGAGCTCGGGCTGCAGCCAAAAAGGCCGAAGAGGCGATCATCGCCGCGGCGAAGGATGTCTCGATTGCCGAGGCAACAGGTTTCGGAGTGCTGTTATCTGAAGAAGAAGAAGCCTGAGGGAACAGCAACCTCGACGATGCCTCTAATAGGCATCAACTAACCAATAGCAGGATTCTGGCTATATCAAAGCTGCCTGTTTGCCCATCTTTGCTCTCAGCGGAGATTGGGCAAATTTATCATTTGGAAGGTGTGACGGACGACGGACGACGGAATATGTGAGGAGGACACTGCTTAGGTCCAACATGGAGGAATCTTCTGTCTTTCGGAGTTATTTTGATTTTCAGGGTCTTTCTTTTTTCGTTTCTGTTTAATCTGCTGCACCTTTGGCAGCGATTCACGAGGCTGAAATAAGTTTAGGCTGTAGGAAATTTTACAGAGAACCTTGCCGGCTCCACCGGTCCTTCACCAATAGTTGATAAAAAGCGTTAGCTTGGGACCTATTTGTAATAAAAAAATAAAAAAAAAAAGACCTAACCAGAGCCCAAAGCAGTGTCGCCATGCAGCTAAGAAGCGAGCATATCGGGCTCAATTCTTACCTGTGCAGAAGGTAAGTACCCGGAGTAGAAAATCCAAGCTATCACTGTGGATATCCGTCGCAAAACGTCAAGCATTTGATGTTGGCGTGTCCGCAGTGGGAAAATGGAAGAGGCGACTTTCTCCGACAAGCCTAAGACAGGTCATTTGAAGCAATGATGAACAGCCCTGAAGATGATGATGATGATTATATTTATCGTGCCAGGCTTACACCCTCCATCCAATGGACGTGACACGCATGGAGTACATCTAGAATACAAGTTCCTTCATTCTCCAGCAAAGCCCATCCGGTGCCTGACTTTTCCAAAAACGTGCCTCACGCTAGTTACATCGGGTCGAATAGGTAGGAACGCATTCACCATGATCCTAAGACCATGTATTGAGGGGAAACCTTCGTGGGCAAACCTCAATATTTCCTCCTGTACTCTTTCACGACGAGCAGCCGTAGTCCCCCCTTAAACAGGCCGTGTAGTAATCCAACCTACCACTGCTAGAAAGCACATCCAGCACCCGACCAACTGTGCCAAAAGCCTGTTGAAAATCACATATCGTTCTTCCCAAATTCTCCCCTGCATTGCGCTCAACCCCCATTTGAGAGGGCTGAAATTCCGAAATCGAAAGCTCAAAATCGAAGCATCGGTGCCCCAGCTTTTGTCGTACATTGTTCGTTGTCTGGGTGAGGCTTCTTTGTTCGCGCCGTCCTTGGAATGTGTCGAATGGTTGAAAATGTTGATGTCGCGGTCGAGGTGCTTGTCTAAAATGAGGCCGAGCATTTGCCTAGTCATGCACACAATGTCAGTAAGGTTGAAAGCGAAAGGAACATTACCTTTGATTCTGGAGGGTTGTTGGTGAGTCGTAAAGTCATCCCAGTCAAACTCAATCGGGAAGTTGTTAGAAGACTGAATAGAAGAGACCCAAACTTAAACTTAAACTTTTGATCTATCGTGCCGGGAACGGAACCTAGCCCATGTGCCAATCGAAATCGACTGGGCCACGCTAAGCAAGCTGCCGTTGCGAAGGATGCGATTCTTCTTGGCTATCCCAGATATGCAGAGCATACTGAGCGATTACACCTGCACCACTGGAAGGTGAAGAATGTCATGGTTTCGAGGGACAAGTGCTGGGGCAACTATGTGGTCGATGGTAGTAAATAATAATTCTAAGGAGAGGACTTCCACTACATCTATCTATTCATTTATATACGTGAAATCCTCCTCGCCACCGAGGCTAATCCTTCTCCTATTCCTATGCTATGGGACTCCCCTAGTGTTCTAACTATGCCTGTAATACAGCACTATCGCGTTATGGTCCGGAGGGATTGTTCTCGGTCTCGTATATTCCCAGTCAGAGTAAGCCTATCAATACGTGATGCAGTGCCGTACTGCCGGGTCCGATGCCATGTGAATACCATGCAAATGCCGACGCAAAAGTACTGTATTGGGTGGCGTCGCATATTAGTGCACTGGTAGTCATTAATAACGCCACTCGGATCAGGCCTAAGTTAACCAATATAGGCTACAGGGACCAATCGGCTTACCAGCCGTTACAAAGAATTCGACTTTGCCGGCATGAACAGCCCAGAAGATGTGGCTAGATTCACACAGTGAATACTAAGCAAAGGACTGATAAAACAGTTTCGACTCGCAGGGGAAGTCGAGGTAGCAAAGTCGGATACAATAAACCGATCTGTAAAGGGAGGGGACGGAATCCACACTGGCTGAACAGCGTACACTGCACTTCCTGAAGGTAAACCAAAGAAATTGATGGTAATATACAAAGACAGGATCAGGAGGTTTTCACCAAATCGGATTCCTCTGTAAATAAAGAAGATAGTCACCTGCAAGGACCCATAGAGTGCCTGATCGGGTTGAAATCAAATTCAAAAAATAGACAACATTGGTAGCGTTTAAACGCCAGCAACATAGACACAACCGACAAATTAGCCAACCGATCTCCATGTAAATGAGATCAGACAGATCTAGGGTTTCTTTAGGTTATGAAAGCTTTGATGAGTTAGGCGTGCCAGCCTTACTAATTTACTAATGAAGCATCATTTACATAAAGCTAAATACTATTAATCCTGCGTGTAATCTCCATCCTATATAGGTTGCTCCCGTTTTACTGGTATATTAATATGCTCTGCATACTCTTCCTTTAAAACTGACTCTTCTTCACCACTTAATATCCCATTACTGGCCTTTTCTTCGCAATGAACCGGTGTATTGTGGGCCTCTTTTTTTATATAAACCTTGCTCTCTTGTAATTCCTGTTCCTCTTCTTTTTTTAAGGTTTTCGCAGGGTACTTAGCCGCAAATTCTACTCGCAGAGGACACTTTCCCCTCACTTTTCCGCCCGCCTTACACTCGTCACACCGTTTTCCATGAGTCACTAAGAGAATATGTAGGCCGTACTTGTCTTTATCGGGGATTCGGGCATCTAGATGTCGAAAGCTTTCGTCGCGTCCAGCATGGGCAGGTCGCCAGCCTAGTAAGCCCGTGATACGCCAAACGTGCGTGTCGACAGCGAAGCTTTCTCGCTGCAGGCAAAATAGCATGACGCAGCTCGCCGTCTTAGGACCGACGCCACGAAAAGAAAGCATTTCGCGCATAGCCTCATCACTAGAGGCATTGAATAGATGATCGAGCGAATATCGACCGTATCGTGAGTAAACTTGATCGAGGATATTGAGGATGACGCGACTCTTTACAGCACTGAGACCGCCACATTTAATGGCGGCTTGTAATTTACTCTGTCCGCCACGCACAATAGCATCCCAGTCATCGTGGCGTCCATAGACCTGGTCCATGCTCAGTTTGGCGCGCGTCGAGTTGGCACTCGTGGTGTTTTGCGATAGAATTGTTCGCAGAAGCGCGTCAAGTACCGATGGTGAGTCACCACAGCTAGCACTACTCGTCGGAGCGACTACTACGGCGGGCCGCACTTTTTCTCCATGAAGGTCTGCGAGAATCTGATGTGCCAGTTCACATTCTGCCGGTGACGGCCTGTCAAAGTCAGGGAAAGGCGACGTCTGATGAAATCGAGCATGGGCCGCAATTTTTCTAGCTCCAAGGTCACTATCACTACTGCGGCTGTGACTGGTAGGCGCAGATTCAAGCACAAGGTTGGAAGTATCGTCTCGGACTTCCGTCTTAATTCTCTTGCCCGTACCTCTCTCCGACGTAGAAAGTGGACGCTTTCGTGTGATGCGTGACGATGATCGCTCTGTTAATTGTGTCGCTGATCTAGTAGTAGAGCGTATATTTCTCATGGCAAGGCTCGTCATGGTGGCTGGATGGACAACGGGCTGGACGGGAAAACGATGTCTGAACCAGGTACGAGTTTGCCATGTACTCAAGCCTCGTCAAGGTGCCAACCCGTCTCTCTTCTGACCCGCTTACCACATGCCATGAGGAACAACTTTCAGAATCGAGTCGGATAGTACAGTGGTACTTCTTCCAGACTAGTGTGTATTTGTTTAAAGTGCTACTTATGTCTACAACTATCAAATACGCTCGTTTCCTCTATTAACCGGGCAACCTGTACAGTGCTCCTATCTTCTTCTGTTACTTCAGGGATGATTGATATATTGCCCTTGATGAATAGCCATTCAGCTTAGTGTCTACCTATGGAATTCATCCACATTTTCCACATATTCTTCTACCCAAAAAAATTAAGTGCTCGTATTGGAAAATGCGTGCGCGAGAAAAAGTCTCAAAAACCTGCAGCCCCAGCCACGCGATGCCTAGACACCGGGACCACATGAGGTGCGCATATCCATCTATGTCTCCTTTGTAAAATCCGAGGCCATCTTGATCCAATCCACCATCTCCGTATCGGGCACTTGGTACGCTCCAGAATCTCATCGCACGGATTTTCCTTCATGATCAAGGGTTGGTGACGAGAAGGGCTTTGGCCTTGCCATCTGATCTAATCATGGTTAGCTTCATGATAGTTATGATAGAGGGATGTGTTGAGGGATGAAGACGATACAGACCGCGAAAGCGATTGGGACTCCTCATCGAAGAGGAAAATTTTTTACTCTCTGTCGGCTCCGCAGACTCCACAGTGAGAGCTGGAGGTTAGTAGGGGATACAACTGGCAGGTATTTCACAATTTGAGCTTTGTGAGTGCGCTAAGACTTCGCTTACGACAGCGCAGCTGTAACTGTAACCGCAAGTCAATTGTGGAAGTAGCTGTAATCCATTTCCTGGTGGTGTTATTTAGTATGGTTCGAGTAGCTTGGGCACCTAACTCCACTTGGGAAGGAGACGCCTAAGAACGCATTTCGCGCAGAGAGAATTCAGAAGATGATGGAGGCATTCCTGGATAACACTGGGGTTGAGACGTTTCCCTGGGTGGATATTCACGGATGAGGGTTAACTTGGGGTGAAGATAAGGCCGACATAACCTCGTGCTGATACTTGCAAATGAAACCCGGGGCATGAATGCTTTTCTTGTGTGTTGAGTCATCTTTTCTGTACACTTTCTCCGATATTGTGGCTTAGCTAGACAGCTGTATACGCAATTAAAATCCAATCAAAAAATCCTTGCATAGAATGTCAAAGGAAAATCTGATGCAAGGAAAATGATATATGTCTGCCAATATGAGTAAATAGCACGAAACTCTCCACACATAAAGACGTGTCGACAACAGTTAACTGTGCTCTGATAGCAGATATACCTTAATATAGTATGTACGATTAAATTTCAAATCATAGATTTAAACGGAGTCACAATAGTCATTTTATATTCGTTCAATATATTATTCTGTGAAAGTTTAGTTAGCTTGATATGTCCGAAACAATTAAAATGGATTGAGTGGAACACGTCGCCTATCCCTCTCGCATCACCACCACTTGACAGCTTCGCCCAGTCTACTCTGCAAACCATCCGCCTCGGGGGGCAAGACTGAACACCTGTACGCGGTGTCCTCTACGAACCTGGCAGTGAAATATTCTTCCAGAGCCAAGTTCAGTCAAATTTCGCAATACCGAACAAGTTGGCCCACGAGGCAATGATTCAAATAACTCCACCACGTCATATTTTCATTCCAAAAAAGATCGAATCCTACCTAAGCCTCATCAAGTCTACAAGTACGACCTAGTACATCCTTATTCCAATGATCACACTTCTAGTCGACTTTCTCTGGCCTCAGCCGGTCACCAAATACACGCCCACGCCGATATTTATACCCGACGGAGGAAGCAAAGCGTGGCGCACAAATCTGGGAGACTGATCTTTGAGATGGACGTGGGAGGAATCAGGACAAGTTCATAAGATGATGCGAAGGATGGATACAGTCTCGACGGGCGTGGGAATTTGAATTCTGGCAAGGAGTTTTTAATAATTGAGCTTTGTGCGTGCCAAGCCTTCGGTTGCGAGAGTGCAGGCGACACTATAAACATCGCCATGGTTGGATGGTGCGGTGGTACATCGTCTTGGCCGGTCTGCCAAGTAGAGTCTGGATAGCTTGGACACATATCCCACTCGAGACAGTAGATCGCTGGTTCAAATCCAGCAAAACACAACCACTTTTCTCGCGGCGCTGGTATGTATGGATGACGAAGGCATGCCTGGATAACCAAAGGTTTTGAAATTCCCTTTGGTGGGTACTTACGGAGGAGAGTCGACTGTTTGTGTAAGCAAGCATACCTCATAGTGGTATTTGCGAATGAAATCCAGAGTATGAGTGTCTCCAACTTCAAAAGAGTCATCCAACATGTATACATAGCACCGGTCATGTGTCATAGCTAGATAGCTGAATACACATTAAATAATTAAAAAAAAAAAAAACCATCCGCCTCGTTGCGGCTCTATCCTAATCCATTCTGTCGCCTAATCTCGAGATCCGCACTGCGGTAGTACCAGAATAACTTGTTTCTCTCTTGAACCTTTGAGTGGAATATTCCTCCGGATCCGAGTACAGATAAATATCGCCATGCCGAGAAAAATGGTCCACGCGGGCAATGACTCAAGATTCTCCGATCAGATCAGATGGTAGGGACGGAGCCCTACTCATCACCAACCCTTGATCAAGGAGGAGATGCCATCCGATGAGTCTCGGAGCGTACCCAGCACCCGATTCGGAGATGGCGGATTGGATCAAGTCGACCTCGACTGTTACAAAGAAGGGAGATATAGATGAATATGCGCACCTCATGTGGTCCCGGTGTCTAGGCCTCGCCTGGCTGGGGCTGCAGGTTTTTTGAGACTTTTTCCCGCGCACGCAGTTTCCATTGCTGCCATTTTTATTTTTTTTGGGTAGAAAGTTCCGTGGAAAATGTGGCTGAATTCCACGGGTAAACACTGAGCTGAACGGCTATTCATCAAGGGAAATATATCAATGATCTTTCAAGTAACAAAAGAGGCAAGGAGCGCTTTACAAGGTGTGGCCTGGGTCAGAGAGGAGCCCAATGTGCTAGATAGTCATTGACTCAAGTAGCACAATAAACACACACTTACTCAAGATTCTCTACCACATTAAAAGTTAACACCGACTAGATCGATTAAGACTAAAGCATTATGATCTCTTTAATCACAAGCAAGTACATCCCTGTTTCAGTTACCACGTCGTAGACAAAGTCTCTGGCCTTCATTGCACGCCCACGTCAATATGATTACCCACATCATACAAATCCTGGCTCACAAAGCTGGTGAAAAAGATGTCTGGGATTGATGTGATAGAGACTAGGGCAAATGGTAAAGATGATGTCTTAGATGGAGACAATCTTGAAAGGATTGAAATATCAAAACTTGGGAAGGATTCTTTAGAACTATAGAGCATTGTAGGCGCTAGACCTTCGATTGCGAGAATGCAGACGATACTACAAGGAAAACCATATTAGTATAATTTTTCAATCTATAAAGCGCGCCTATCTCAAGAAGAGTCTGCATAGCTTGGAAATTTATGCCAGTCTAGAAGGGAGATCACTAGCCTTGATCTAGTTAGACTCGCTCAAGCTTCTCGCGGTAGTGGTGTGCATGGATCACGAAGGCATATTTCGATAAGAAATAGTATTAAAACTTCTCTTTTCCGTGTACTAACGATGGTGAGCCGCTCGATTAGTTTTAACAAATAGACCTCACAGTGGTATCTCAAGATAAAAACCAGAGTACGAGTGTCTCTGGTGGCAAATGAGTCATTTAGCGTTTACATATTGTGCTAATCATGTATTATAAAGATATAGCTTAATACACATTAAATGAATTAAAAAAATGATCAACAGAGGGATCTATAACCTTTTCCGGAATGAATAGGAGAAATAATAGTTCTGTCCGATTTTGAGATATTTGCCAAAGTGCTAGTGGAAATTTCTCATGTCGAAAAAAATGGCCATAAGACTTTAATTCTCCACTATTACCAGTAAATTTGGTAATGGCCTTTAATAGATATTAGTGTGAGTATCCGGAAAGAGCACGAGCTAAGCCATGACAATGTTGAATCAAGTAGAGACTCAGATCAGGATTTAAATGTATAAGATTCTAAACTAAAGAAGAGAAGGAAAGGAATACATCTACAGATCTTGAATAGTACATAATTTACACCTGGTCCGTGCATTCCATACTGGGTAGCTTTTTACAACACTGACTAATTGATACGTCATTGCATCTGTACACTTTTTTTTTTAAAATCATTTGATGTGTATTCAGCTATCTAGCTATGACACATGACCGGTGCTATGTATACATGTTGGATGACTCTTTTGAAGTTGGAGACACTCATACTCTGGATTTCATTCGCAAATACCACTATGAGGTATGCTTGCTTGCACAAACAGTCGACTCTCCTCCGTAAGTACCCACCAAAGGGAATTTCAAAACCTTTGGTTATCCAGGCATGCCTTCGTCATCCATGCATACCAGCGCCGCGAGAAAAGTGGTTGTGTTTTGCTGGATTTGAACCAGCGATCTACTGTCTCGAGTGGGATATGTGTCCAAGCTATCCAGACTTTACTTGGCAGACCGGCCAAGACGATGTACCACCGCACCATCCAACCATGGCGATGTTTATAGTGTCGCCTGCACTCTCGCAACCGAAGGCTTGGCACGCACAAAGCTCAATTTGTAAAAACTTGTTGGAAATTCTGACTCTCGAATTTAGGACTCAACCAATACCTATTTCGTCTCAGGTTCCCGACAAGATCGACTCTCTCTACAAATGTCCCGGGTACGCTAATCGCGCCTACTGTTGCATAAACGTTTGGATATTTAAGTACTACAGTGTACCGTGGATCATCATGGTAGATGTGTCAACGGCTAAGAATAACCACCGAAGAAGTTGGA